ATAATCATATGTGCTTGTAACGCTTTATATCTTATTGTTATGACTACATTTGTGATTGAAGAGGGAATTGTCGTTTCCGTACTTATAATAATAGGATGTGGTTGAATTTTAAAGCCTGAAATCAGAAGGATTTTTTTTCTTTTTACGAGGAGCGGACAATATGAGAGACAAAACTAAAATTCTAGAAGTGGATTGCTGAATAAAATAATAATTATTATTATAATAATAAAGTAATTTTGAAATAAATATAATGCACAATATTTGGGGTCCGAACTATTATTTGTCTACCAAATAATAATCAATTTGAATTTTTTTAATTAAAATTATTTCAATTTTTTGTAACTAAATGTAAATTTATTTCACGGTTTGGGACGCCATAGCTCCAAAAGCCTAGCTAATTCCATCCGTTATATATATATATATATATATACACGCAAAAAGGAAAGGAAAGGAATCAGCATCACCGTATCATGCAAACTGCAATTTAGCAGGAAGGTTTTTGGGTTATGTATCCTTCCATTGCATAGAGGAGAAAAAGGAGGAAAAATGCTTATTGAGTGAAACTGTTAAAAGAAATTATATCCGAATCAGAACGTGGTGCTGAGGGAATTTTTATCTTTGCTTATACGCTGTCATGATATTAGGAATTTTCACGACAACGTGAAAGGGTTTTTTTTTTAGTATTACTAGTTTTTTGCCACTTGTATTATTTAACTAATTTTAGTATTTTTATTTCTAATTTGTAATAGATTGTTTAGCGTTATTTATAAAATGAATGGATTTGAAAGTTTATTAAATAAACATGTTTGATTTTCAAATAATCTTATATAAATTTTGATAATTATAATTAAATTGTTTTTAATTTTTAAACAATATAAAATAATTTTAAGTGTACTTAATAAAAAATTTGGGACACAAATTGAGTTATTTTTCAAATTTTAATAATTAAATAATATGGATAAATATATATGATTCTCACATTATATTATTATGAACTTTTTTTTAATTTTAAACCGTTTTTGTCAATTATCTATGACATGTATATAAATTAACAATATAGACATGAATAAAATTCTATAAATAATTTTTTAATAAATCTTATCTCTTTTTAACAAATCATTGCTTATCCAAATGATTAAAAAATAAGGTATACAGTAACCAAAAATAGCCAACAAAATTTAACTAAGAATTAAATTTATTACTTTGATTTTTTTTTATGTCATTTAATTGTTTTGAATTTCAATATTTTATTCTTTTTAGCGGCATGTTTTAAAGGCTTTTTTGGGGGTGTGCGTGTATATATACATAAGAAAATAGAATTTCCCATGTCCCACGCCAAAAAAAAAAAAAAACGAACAATTATACATGTCATCTAGGAACATTCGTTGCTGAGATAAAATTATGGAAAATAACACAATTAATTCTTGTGTTTGTTACGCTTTCTATCCAAACAACTTCAGCCGTTAGTCAAGGTCCTCGATTCTCCCGCCTCACTTTTTCCCTTTTGTTTACTGAGATTTGAAGGATCGATTCATGTGATTGATTTCCCATGTTCTTCACTAACCTTAACAAAAATATGCATATCAAGATATATATAAACTATGACATGCATATCAGGATATCAGGAGATATCACAAAAACCACATGCATACCAGGATATCAGGATATATATATCCTGATATCCTGGTATGCATGTGGTTTTTGTGATATCTCCTGATATCCTGATATGCATGTCATATATATATATATCCACTGAATATTATTTTATCGTGAATCTTTTTATTTCAAAAAGTTATTTTCAATTAGATAAATGGGACATGAATAATAATTTTATAAGTTATAAAAAGAACTTTTTGAAATAAATAACTTATAAAAATAAGGATTTAATTTAATAATTTGTTGAATTTTGATGTAATTCAATTATTTTCAGATTTAATACTTTATGTTTTGTATTTGCTTGTTTTTAGCTTTTTAGGGTTTTGATAGTCAAATGAAGATACCAATATAGTACTCTATAGTTTAGAAATGATTTAAATAGCTTATTTGATGTTATTTAGGATTTTATATCGTGTATAAATAAATAATAAATAATTGTCATATATTTAAGGATTTATTCTAAAAAAATCCTACTTTATAAGAATTAATTTTTATTTTAAGAATTTTACCAATATTAGTATTTTTCTTAATTAGAGGTAAAAATAAATTCACTTATTAGTAGTCATAGTATATTATAATATTAGTATTGTATTAGGAGTATAGTAGTGAATCAATATTTTTTTTTTAAATTCATGTTTTTAAGTGTAGTTGTGAATTATGAATTATTATTTTTACTACTTTCTTTAGCGGGATATAGGACTAAGATTTTCTTTTTTATTGTTAATGTCCACTAAATGTTACCGACATATGTTAGTCTAACAGTACATTATGATCCGAGTAAACATGAGGAAATTTCTTTGAACCCGGACTAAAGGAAACTTTTGTTATACATATATATATTGGGGTTCTTGATAACTGATTAGAAGATTAGTTAATTAAGATACAAGGATAGTCAATTAAGATACAAGGAGCTAGTATTGTGACTTGCAGCAGTAATGGTCAATCAACCAAATATAAATGATGCAAATAGTGAGATGCATGAGAGGAGAAGTAGAAAATACTAAAAAGATGCAAGTCAGTTGGTTAATAAGTAGATAGTCAAAAGTCCAAAAATTAAAAGCCTTGAGTGTTGTTTAGTACGTGAGTAGAGGAGTTTTAAGATTAAGAGTTTAGGTATTTTTTTTGCTAAAGATTAACGAGTTCTGAAATCAAAAATTCTGATTCGCAGACAATAATATAAGGTTAGTACTTATAGTAAAAAAAAAAAATGGCATTTGGCCGTTAGGTTCATGCCTCGTCATCCAAGTTTGGATGGACAAATTTGGCTTGAAAAAATTTAAGTTCTTTGGATTTAACTACTTTAATTTGCTAGCAAAGACTAAAGGAATTAACAATTAGATCTTCTTTTAAAGGATCTTGCTTCGAATCCATCAAGTCAATTTCTTTAATGCATCCGAATGACAAAACATGAATACTGATTCTATCAGAATACCTGTATCGATTATTGCAATCCAAAATCTTGTGTTGGGTTAGGTCCATTCTTAGTTCAATTCATTTGTTGTGTTATTTGGACCCATGTCAAAATCAGAAAAAAAAAAAAAAAAAAAAGCATTGATTCACTACTCTGTGTGTGTGTGTGCGTGCGTGCGCGCACGTGCGCGCCCGTTAAGATAAGTTTTTATATGAATGGAGATGGTTAAATGAGTCAAACATTTCCTTAATTTTAATTCGTTTGAAATTGAGTATTTAAATTTTAAATTTGATATTTGGAATTTCTGAATTTTTTAATTTTTCAATGTCTATTTAATGATTTTCAGCTATTACCCTCTCTTTTTTAAAAAAAAATTAATTCTTAGTATTTTGACCTAAAATTGTACACACGGATTGGAAAAAATCTAATCTATTTTCTAGAAAAATTCCAGAATTTTTAAAAATCTAAAGGTATATATTTTTTTTAACATTAAAAATATAAAAAAATATGAAATAACTCGAAATGATCCTAATTTTTTTAAAATCACCTTATAAATCTATATGAATGATTTCTATTATAAAACTATTTACGTGATTGTTATTTTTTGAGATTAATAAAAAAAAATCTAAAAAATGACCTATTTTAAAAAATTTAAAATTTTTAAAATTCAAATTTAAAATTTAAAAACTAAATTTCAAATGTTAGGCAGATATTAAAACTTTACTTTGAAGGCGTCTGCTGGATGCCAATTATTGTGTTTTCCTAACCGGCCGCTAAAGATTGAGCTGCAGGTGCTGGCCTTAGTTTTTGGACACTTATGATGGACATGTCTTTCTCATGGGCCATGTCTCTCGATTTCTTAATGTCCAGACATTTTATCACGTTTACGTTTTGTCTTATATGTGTCGTCACTCATCAACTTGGGGGCATTGTTTTCTCACTTGGATTGGATTTGCACCATTTTGGATGGATAAATTCCAAACTCTAATGCCAATAATAATAACTTACCAATTAATTAATAGTGAAGTTTGGAGAATATTCAAGAGGGATATTCATCCATTTTTCAAACTCAACTTATAATCTTTATTTTTCCATTTATGTTGATCCTGTTCGGCTGATATTTGACTCAAAAATGCACCAGCAATACATTATTGGATCGGTCTAATTCAAAGCCAGTTCAAGAGAGATGTGGGTGATCCATTTGCAATCGATCCAAGTTGGAAAAGAGATTAAGTTTTGAGGTAGAAACTGGAAAACGTTCCTAAATTGATTAGGAGAGAGTTAAAAGATCAGCATTTTATGTACTAAAGCAGAAAAGAAATATGGAACTTTAGAGAGTTGACGCCTGATAGGAAAGATACAGCTGCTCTTTTTTTCAAAAAAATAAAAATAAAAAATGTTAGCTTTTATGTTTCAAGAACAGGTACAATTTTGGTCCGAGTTCTTTTAGCAAGTCATCCTTACCTTTTGTGTATTTTCAAATAAAATAATAATTACTTCTGAAAATCACCTTCTGCATTTGAACCGGAATAATAACATGAAAAACAAATCCATTTACATTTACTGCACCAACCCACAGCTCAACTCAAGAATCAATTGAATATAAGCTTGTCAGGTGTCAGTCTAAAGGCCCAAGCACAATTTCAGTCAAATATTTGTGATAAAGAAAGAGGCTCGAGATTACAACCATTAAGTTAACACTTAAGAGCATTAGGTTAATTTATAACCCCTCTTGACCTGAAACCAAACACAAACCAAGGTTTTGTTCAAGACCTGACTCACAGCAAATGGACCGCAAAAAACCAATGGTTTTGTCCTCTTCTAGTTTCTATAGGCCCAGGTGATTGTTTTCGCAACCAACCACGGGGCCGCTAGAGGCAGGACCTTCTGCATTTGAAGTCATTTGCTTGCAATAAGACTTAGTACAGCCTTGCTATTTCTCCACAAGCGTGTGAAATTCAGGGGAGGCCACACTTGGGCCTCTAACAGCTTCAATGACCCTGACTAGAGCGCACACCATAGATTTATAAAAATAGCCCCGCGAATTCTGGAACATTGCACAGAAGAGTTACTAGAAAGGTTTGCCTTTAAGGCATTATAGGCTAAGCACAACGCCTTCGAGACAAAATGTCCTGCGAGGATGACATTCTGTCCCATAGCAATATAGTTCAAGGCTTCGCTTCATGCCATGAAACGACAAGGCAGCTTTACAAGAGATTGCGTAAGGCTACGCTGCCATGACACGTATCGTTACATGCAACCGACTTGTTCGACATGCACCATTACAGGACAATGGTTATGGACAAAATATTCTAATGCACTAAAGCTACCATAGAAATTTGGGCATGTAACTTTCCACGCTGTAAAGACGAATATTACATTTCCATACCGCAAAATATTTACAGACACAAGAAACATATACCCACATACCCAACCCTACCTGCAAATACCAAAAAATGTACAGACTTTAGACCTATGGTTTTTAACTTCCACCTCTACTTAGAACCCAGTCAATGTCTTTTTGTTCGATTCTCCTCAGGTAGTTAGCTCTTAAAAACCGAGCTATTAATTAGCCAGTGCCCAAAAACTAAACCAGAGCTACCATAAACGCAAACAAAACAACAACAACAACAAGGGTAGAAGATTAAAAAGAGAAAGAAATGGGGGAAATGGGAAGTTCGATGATTCAGTTTTCTGCGGAATCTGAGCTTAATATAGTCCCTTCACCTTCCATGGGAAGTTTGCTACCCGGACTCATCTTTTTGACGTCCTGACTTGAGCATATAAAGATTCTTCTCACCATGTTACAGAACTCACTGCAACAAATACAGCCAAACTATTGATTATCATACTCCACAACAGGTAAAAGAATACTATTAAGTTTTGATGCGAATTTTACTATGTTGTGAGAATCAAAACAGCACTTACGGCCATGGATCATCACCGACAAGCATCATATCTCCTTCGTCATCAGTATAGACGATTTCCCACTTATCCCGAGGGTGAAGCTGTCCCTTAATGTCAAATAACTGCTCCAGCTCATCTATAAGCTGACCATACCCCTTTAGCGTGGTCAAGTCCACGGCCCGACCAACAGCAATCCCCTGCATTTGAACCTATTGGCAAATTCAACACCACACAAGAAAATCTTTTAAGAAACCTGCTGAAGGGTGCAAAAAAGGTTAAATTAAACAAGAAACTCTAATTTTCATTACCTTTGTGCGACTTCTAGTGGAAATAGAACTTTGCTTACTCTGAATTTCTTTTGGTGATATCTGTAACTGTTCTGGTTTCTTTTCCCTGGAAACTTCAGATTTTTGGTCAGAATCAACTGCAGACAATGAACCAAGAACATGTCCTTCGGTGGCACCACTACATATACTGATCGGCTGTTCAGGCACTTTTTCAATAGGAGTTGAGCTCGTGGAATGATTTACGAGATCAATGCCAAATAATCGATAACTAGTAGGCACCTCAGTTCTCCTCCCCTTATCAGATGGGTCAGGGATTGGATCATTCTTCGATTTAGACGAGAGGGGAGTTGAATAGCCTGAGAATACAGGCCAAGGGGAAGCACTTTTGCTATCCTCCATGACATCCGGAAAAAGATGCTGAGAAACATTCACGTGAGGAGAAGATAACCAGCCCCCTTCAGCCTGAGTCCTTGTCAGAGAGTTGCTATGACCATTAATATCAATCTGTTTTTGATGCCACATCACGTTATTTTCATTTCTTTTGCCTTCACCGGTAACACTCAGTTGAGTTAAATCATGGGACTGTGTCAATCCAGAATTCCAAGGAGTTGATGCAGTTGAAGATAAATCTATAACGTGTAATAACAACAACAATGAGAAATTGCAATGAACAACTTATCCAGTGCTGAAAAGATAAAAGGAGGAAACAAAACTCTTATTTACCAAGAGCTGGAATTTCAATTGGAGGTCGGGGCCTTTTATTTTTTTGTGCAACTGGTTGAGACAGGTTTGTCGGTACTGATGCCACACAGGGTTCTATCTCCCAAGGTGAAACCCTATCAGGTCTTGGAATAGAAGCAGGTTCGTCCCATTGAACCTGGTAAAGAGACAAAGTAACAGATTAATTAATGCCATAAATGTATTTCAAATAAAGGGCATAATATCAAGCTAAGAAGTTGTTACTTTCAGTGATCGCCATTTAGAATCATTCCAATGAGGAGAAAAATCTTCAACCCCAACAATTGTTCCCGAAAACCTGATCAATCAAAAAATTCAGAATTGCAAGTCATTACAACTCCCATTGCGCATTTACAATTGAGCTCCAACATTAGAAAGAAAATGCTTAAAGAAACCATGTACTGTAAATCTCCCACCTTCTTTCAGGAGAATCCTCGCCTTCAAACCTCATCTTGAATCTCATGCCAACTGCAAACTTATTGCCAACAGCCTTTAAATATTTGTTCAAGCTTATGATGAACTGGCTCGTCCTGAAAATTTAATTTAAACAAAGAAAGAAAAAAAAATCCATTAAAAGAAAAAAAGCAAAAGCAATCTGACATATTCAGCAGGAATGCTTTGATAAAAGAAGCTAGCACAGTTTCTTGTAAAGATGTATTATACCTTGGCTTATAATATACCACAAAGAGAGTTAGAGTTGAAACAGCATGAGAAGCCGTTGCAAGAACTCCAAGGTGCATGCTCTGACTGGAAATCACGGATGATGGCATGCTGCTCTGTTGGCAAGCAACACGCCTCACCCCAACATGCAATTCCCCATTCTCTCCTCTGGACAACCAATTGTTAAACAAATAAGAGTTCCATCCACTTCACTTTATGGAGGACAACAAGCCAACATCTGAAAACAAAATGAATACCTGAGGAAGACAAACGAATCCCCAGCAACTAATCTCTTGGAGGTAACAAATGTACTCCAACCTGTGGTGAGCAAGTGCCTCCTTGGTTGACCTGTTTATTTGACTATATGTGAGTGGTGATTTGTTTTTTTCCTAATTACTTGAACAGTAAGTCTAACTAGTTCAAGACATAGCCAGCGAGAGATTTGAAATTCCCTCTGAACTCAAGAATAACACATCAATATCACAAGGACAGATGGAAAGCACATAGAAATCCTTTACCTCTGAAAATATGCTTAAATCTCCATTCATAACCATGCAGATCCTTAGCAGCCAATTCCTGAGTTGGGGTTGGCTGGGTCATATCCTTTAAAACATCCATATATGAGATGCTAAAGTCAATACATGATTGAAAGGAAGAAATCAAGACTAGTACCGCACACATTCATACACAAATTACCAGTGGAGGAAGGCATTCGGTGGCATGTTTACGAAGAACAGAAAATCCACCATGGGTGCTCGTATCAGAGGCAGTCAACACCTTGCAGAACGAGTGAACTGTAGGTCTTGGAGGCTCAGATGGACATGAATCAGGACTTGTAGGTTCAGTTTGCTACATTGTTTCAACAAAATTTAAAGACGTTAAAGTTAAATAAAAACAAATGACTGTGTTATCTCTGCTACATAGACACTAAAATTTAGAAAACTAATCAATTCTTACATCTGATTCAGGCAGCAAAGTAATCTGTGCATAAACCTCATCTGTATCTTGTTCAGCCTGTACAAATTGAAAGAAATCAACAAAAAATTCTTCTCAAATCAACCATTTTGACCATTAAATTTAGTGGTTCATTCAATCCCCAAGAAAATACACAAATCAATATTACTAAGACCTAAGTCAAACATGCCTTGCATCCAAATAAATGAGTTTAGCAAAATAATATGATCACCACGAACACTCGATTAAATGGATCAATACTCTACTCCCTCAGCAGCCAGGCATAAAAATCAAAGGAAATAGAAAATACAAAAATAAATTAAGATCAGAGAGTGAAAAATAGTAAAATACCAGCAGCTGAGTATGAATAACACGACAGAGAATCTTCGAAGGCAGATTAAACAAAGGAACCGTCTGATTTAATTCCTGATTTGTTGATGCCTCCAACTACACAAATCCAAAAATAGCAAAATTTTTAATATTTAACCAGAAATAACGCAAACCTACAAATGGAAACCAATCCAAGACTCAAAATTTCGAATTAAAACACACTCATTCGCTCCATCACTCACTTCATAACCAACAAAAAGTTCAAAATCCAATCTTTACCTGTTCCATATGACCCTGAGGAAAATAAAATACTCTTTCCCCACGCTTGGGAACATCCACTAGTGGACCTGCACATGCCTTCCATAACTCCATATATAGATCATCTCCTCCACAACCTGAAACCAAAAAACATGTCGATTGCTCTCCAATTTTTCCCAGGAAATGAACAGAAAATGAAGAGAAAAAAAGTCATTTCACACTTCACCTTCACTGTTTCCCTGTGAAAACGACCCTCCTCCTCCTCCTCCTCCTCCTATTCCTCTATTCATAGCCATCATTTTTTAAACCCACCAAGAAACAGCAGCAGCCAAGCCAGAAAAAATACCAAAAAAAAAAAAAAAAGGCCCTCCAAAAAATAAATTCAAACCCACAAAATATAACTTCCTTTTATACACCTTAATTAGCTCTCATTCTACACTTAATCACAACAATTAAATCCCTCAATAATTACAACAATTATTTCCCTTTAAAATCCGTTAAAAACCCAACAAAAAGTCCCCAGCTTTTCACTTATTTCACACTTGAGAGATCCAAGAACCTGTAACGCCAAAAACCCACTTCTAAACCGTTACAACACCACCGTCTTCTTCCTCTTCTTAATAGCTTCAAAAAAAATCAGAATCTCTCTCTTCCTCTCACTAAAAGCAGCTGTTTCTCTCTCTCTCTCTCTCTCTCTCTCTCTAGACAAAAAAAACGCCGTTCCTAACATAAAACTGCTTTGCGCGCGTCTTATATTACGCGACTTTGTGGTGCTTTAACTGTTCTGTTCTGTTCCCCGTTTCCTATTTGTTGCTGTCTGCTTTGTTTTGTTTTGTAAATCGTTAACTTAACTAACCATAGTTAAGAGTTTTAACTTGAGAAAGAGATCAGATGGATGCCGTTAAATTGACGGAAAAGACTAGAGAATGATTTTGCCGTTAGTTAACTGATGGCGGGTAGTTTTTCTTATGATTTTGTTATGAAGTCGGGAGCCATTTGAGATTCCTTGTAAGTTTAAGATATATATATATATATAACTTTGTTAAAAAAAATCCAACTATCTAAAGTGCTTATGACTATCAAAAGAAAGCAATTAAATTGACATTATGCATGAAATAAAATTTTCAAAATTTATGTATTAATTTTTTCAACACTTTGTTATTTAATTTAAAAATATAATATCAATTAATTTAACAATAAATATTATTTCTTTACCTTGATTGATTTTTAAAAAAAATAACATTATTTTCTTACAGGCAAAACACATGTATGAATATTGATCTTATTCGAAAGAAAATCGTAAGTATAAATTGTCTCTTCTTCCAACAATATTTTTATACGATATTATTAATTAAATAAAGAATTATAATAATTGGATTATGTTTATCTCATTCTTCAATTTTTTTTAAAAAAATAGTTAATTAAAGTTGAGAGGGTTTAAAGAATTTTCTAGAATTGAAAATGATATATATAGTTTAATGTTTTTAAATATATAATTTAAAGATTGAATCATAATTTACTTTGTATCTAATTATAAAATTTTAATTTTAAAAAACATTTAGAATTATGATGAAAACAAACAAGTTTGAAAAATTATTTAGCAACAAAATCAATTTAAAGAATAGATTATTTATGCTTGGACTAAAAAATCTATTAAAAAAAAACTACTTTTGAGTGGCTTAATGGTAAAAGACCGAAAGGATTTAGAATCGTGGGTTGAACAAATAGGCGTGTATGAGCTACAGCTACACTAAACTATTCTTTTCTTCCCCCCCCCCCCCCCCCCCCCCCTAATGGCATGTATTTTTAAAATGATTTGTATGATTGTACGGACTCGGTATTGGGATGCGTGTAGTTAGGGGTAACGGAGATCTGGAACTGACGTTGCCGTTATTTAGCCGTCTCTTTCGTTGTCTGCTTCGAAGCAGGCAACGGCATGGCTGGCTTGAGTTAACCCGGCAGAATTTTGGGATTTTTATTTTTTATTTTTTTATTTGACCTAGAACATAGCAATATTTTACGGGTTTGCCATCCTGAGACGAGTGACTGTCGTCTGTGTTAAGATCGGTATAGGAGAGACCACCAAGCGACAGGTTGCCTTAAAAATTTAGTGAAGAAATTTGCTGACATGTCATTACAGGGACCACCAAAACCGTTCGCAGATTGTCAGGGAAACAAAAAGGCTTGAGAAAAAGTCCAAGTACCCGTCACATCCCACGTGGTTGGGCTTGTGTGGGGTCCATTCCGAAGGCGGGTCCTCGTATCAATTTACGGTATGGTGCGAGCTGATGCAACCAATCTGAATAATACAAATTAGTTGGGATAATATAAAAACATATGAATATTCTGTTGCTTACAAACATGTTTTTAAAAAAAAGCATTTGGCTTTTGTCTGAGTAATTTTCTGATTTGTTACAATTGTAGCTGAGTGTGTAAGAACATCATTAAACGAGGGTGGAATTGAAAAAAATAAATTGAATGGGAATGCTATCATAAAAACTATATTGATAAATTTGAAAAATAAAGTCAAATCAAAAAAAGATTGAAGTGAAAATATGTTTTTTTTTTTTTTTTTGGATGAAGTAGGGACAAACACATAACTATTATGCAAAAAGTTCAAAATTTAGTGACCAGAGTATAAAAATTTTACAACTCTAGGAGTGCCCTCAAAGCATACCGTAGTTTCTCCTCAATTATTATGTCAGTTTTTATAATATCAAAACCAAGTACAAAAACGAAGTCCGTGTCGTCCTGACTAATTAACGTCCGACTGGTTGTCTGGCTACCATATGAATGTATGATGATGCTTAAAACAAACTTCTTTATCACTTCACAACCAAAAGTTTCAAAATTTTTAAAATCGGATAATTCTATCAACTAAACTGACGAGGGGCATAAATACTGAGATTTTTTGAATAATTATTTTTACTATAATCTTTCTTTATTTATTTAGTTTTTCTATAATTTTTTAAATTTTATTTAATCAGGCAGACATTATTAAGGAAATTAATGCTCTATAATTCTATTATCATGTTCATTGTTATTAGAATTTTCTAGTTTCCTTACCCAGAGAGTTGTAATAGTCTTTTTACAATTAACTATTGATGAATAAAATTTATGAGTTTTACAATTTCTTTTGTAGTTTTTTTTTCTTTTTAAGATTTTGTTAATATGAACAATCCTCGGATTTTTTCACTATATGATGCGTCAATTGATATTAGAGTAAAATTGATCTGATGAGTTCATAAGACAATATTGATATATTTAAAATAAATGCATGATCGTTATTTTGAGCAATTCAATAAGAGTTTCACAAAGATTAGGATATATTCCAGTAGCTTAATATAAAATACCAATACATATAGTGATTATAAAATGTGTCATACTAACCAAAAAAAACCACAATCAAAGTGTTCGTAATCATGTTTTGTTTTTAATAAAATCTATGCTGAAAATTATTCGAGAAGTTGGTATAATAAACTTAATTTTGAGTCCAGTAAATCTCACTTAAAAATTGATATTTCAATTTTTAATAAAGCTCCGGGAGTTGAGAAATTTATAAACTAGCTTGTTAATTGTGATAGAGTCGTAGAATATGTAAGACTCTTAGAAGTGGAGATGAGGCATTTGATTGAATTTAGGTCAAGGGAGACAAACTTATCATGATTGAAAACAAATTCAAAACATTTTGTTAGAAAATAATAAGATACTTGTTAAAAGTTGGTTTTGATGAGAAAATTACCGAGGAATAATATATTTGTTTCACCGGATTTGGAGGTGAAACCATAAAACTATTGTTAAAGTTAATATACAAGTCAATGAAAGTATTTCGAATCATTACAAAAGACACTAAAATAGGTGAGGTATTCACTGTTTCTAAATTGTTCACCGAGATTGAATTCACTGTGGATCAAGAGTAATTTGCACTGTCCTTGATTTTTCAATCCCTCTTAGCCATCCCTCCTTTGGTCTGTCTCGCTGCCTCTTTCTGCACCCTTGTTTTGTCTATTGTTTCATTGTTTTGTTTTTGTTTATTCCTCTTATTGCATTGTTTTTCATTTCTTTATATATTTTTTTTCTATATTTCATTTCATCTCTTAATTTACACCCTCTTATTGTCTATTGAATTCCTTCTTTGCCATTTAGTGGTGCTGTGATCTTACATTTGTGCCCCTCTTTTGTATTTTCCTTTGACTCATTTTACACCTTTTTGGTCAATTTCACCTTAGAGCATTCGATGCTCAACCCTTTTGGTTGGAGAGCATTAATTTGTTTGCAATTTCCTTTCCCAACACTTCCATAAGTAAATTTTCATGTTAAAAGAAAAACAACCTTCCAACTTAATCTCAAGCCTCAAAGTAGTATTTTTAGGCTTGGGCTTAATTTAAAAAATATGTTTATTTTTTAAATCAAATCATAATTATACTTGTATTTTTATGTTTGAGTCTATGTTATTTTTATTTTCTTTCGCCTAACAAGACTAAATTCCATGTGGAATCATTTTTTTTTATATATATATAAAAAGATAGGTAAATTAAGGTTGAAGTTTCATATATATATATATATATATATATATATATATATATATATATATATATATATATATATATATATATATATATATATATATATATATATATATATATATATATATTGAAATTCTGGTCGAGATATAATTGAATTTTTTACTTAAAATTGGATGTTTGACTCGAATTCTTCTTTAGGGAAAAAGAAAAAAAAATGTTATTTCTCTTTATACATATGTATAGAATTTTCTTAAATTTCTATGCGAATATACAATTTTAAGTCAATTTATTATTAACGAGTAATGCTAGCTTGTTTATCTTTTTTAAAATAAAATGTATAATTCTATGCGATGCTTTGAACGAGTTGTTGTTTCTATTTAATTCTTACGAATTTTTGAAGCGTTAAAAGAGAGATTAAAATCCAAAACCTTAAAAAAAATATATATATATATATATATATATATAAGTGTTAGATTGAAGGGCCTTCAAGATGAAACTTAGGACAAGATTTCCATCTATGTATTCAAAAGGAAGCAACAAGATAGTTGTCCCCGTCGTGAAGTAAATTAACCAACACAACTAAAAGAGATAAAAAAAAATATAGTAATTTTTATTGTTCACCCCCTTACACGATACTATGGGCGCATTATAGACAAAAGATAGCATTTTTGTGATTCTTAAGCTATCCTGGATATTTATATTCAAATTTTATATTATATTTTATTTTGATTTCGAAAGCTTAAAATGAAATTTTTGGTCTCTTGGGTTGCTAC